TATAACATTCACGGTTCTCTTGGGTGATGGGGGCTTTGGTGGCTCTTGCCTATTTTTCATATAGGCTTGCTTACCTTTCTCACTAAATAACTCAGTGAGATACCCTTGTTTCAACAGATGGTCCACTTCACTTTGTAAGAATCTACATTCTGAAGTCTTGTGCCCGTGATCATTGTGGAATTCGCACCAATGATCTGGATTGCGCCTATTTGGATTTGACCGCATCTCTTTTGGCCACCGTACCTTGTCTCCCATGCTCCTCAAAACAGCTACGAGCTCGGAGGTAGTAACATTGAAATTATATCCACCGAATCTCGCTTTTAAACCTCTGTCATTATCTCGTGACTCTTGTCTGTTTCGGTCATTTCTGAACCTTGATGAAGAACCAGATTCCCTGTTACTCGATTTTTGATCATATCGTTGATTATCCTGCTTTGACCGTGAGTCTTTTCCTGCAGGTCCCATATACGGATCGTATCTATTTTTACCTGATCTTTTTTCGGTTTCTGACCTCCTGGAATTACTCCTTTCTTCATGATGAAACTGAGGTACGGTATCTTCCTCAATTCGCAACTTCGTATTGTACCTGTTATAAACGTCATTCCACGTGGTTGCAGGGAACTCCCGAAGGCTTTCTTTTAGTCTTCTCGTGGCTTCTGAACTTTTATCATTTAAGTTGCTTGCAAAAGCTATTGCAGCCCAATTATCAGGTACACGGGGTAAAGTCATCTTTTCACGTTGGAATCTATCAACAAAATCTCTGAGCAACTCTGAGTCCCCTTGTTTAATTTTGAAAATGTCTTCCATTCTTTTTTCAACCTTTTGAGCTCCCGAGTGCGCTTTAATAAAAGAATCTGCAAGCTCAGCAAAAGAGTTTATAGAATTTTCAGGTAAAAGAGAATACCAGGTTAATGCACCCTTGGTGAGTGTTTCTCCAAATTTTTTGACCAACACGGATTCAATTTCTTGCTTGGTCAAATCGTTGCCTTTTACACCTGTAGTAAATGCAGTTACGTGATCACGTGGGTCTGTTGTGCCATCATATTTCGAGATGTCAGGCATTTTGAACTTTTTAGGGATTGGAAGGGGAGCAGCACTTGGTTTCCAAGGTTGTTGCGAGTATTTATCCACATCCACTCCTTTGATTACAGGGGGAACTCCAGGGATTTGCTCGATGCGCTCATTTTGTTCCTTAAGCTGTTTCTGCAAAGTTAGTACTAAATTTTGCAAATGAGAATTATTTGAATTACCTGGTTCTCCTTCCCGTGGTTCACTGGGGGTTCCTCCATTTCCAGAATTAACAGGGCCAGAACGAGGATTCTCCAATGTATTGTTATTAGGCGTAGGTGTGGGTGGTGCAACAGGTAATCGACTAACTAGAGCTTGAAGAGCTTTGCTAACCCGTGCATCAATTACTTTTTGTAAAGCTTCATCTGGCCCTTCAAAATGTTCAGATTGCTCTTGTTCATCAGCACGAGATTCAGGAGCAGGAGTACCTTCACGAGATTGACGTGGTGAATTTTGAGGGGAAGGAACCACGTTAATGTTTTGTAAATCTCCTTGATTCTGATGGATTTGATTTTCATCACCGTTATTGTTGTTGTTGTTGTTTGACATGATGATAACAACAGATAAAATGTAACTTAAAAAGAATAGATTATCAGATTCCCGGTAACGGAACCAATTTGTTTAACCAAAAAACTGAATATTTGGTTAAAGCTAGAAATTAAGAGAGAAATCGGGTTACTGATAATCAAGAAATGAGAGACTTTGAGAACAACAATAAAGCAATGAATAAGTATATATTTCAGTATAATCTCAATGATATTTCGTGTCCTACAGATTTTGAGACCTTCCCCTTTTATAGTTAATTCTAGGAGAAAGTGTAATGCCTTTGTCTTAATGAGGCAATTATGAGCAATAAATGACATTAAAAGAAAACGTTACTCAATCATTCTTATTAAATACAAATTCTCTCAACGTATTTGGCATTTAATGCTGAATTTGGACTCCTTTACGCTATCAGATTCATTTCTTCAATTCCTTCCGATCTTCGAGCTTTAAATGACTCGAACAAGTACGAGTCTCATTTCATTTGAATAATAGCTCGTGCCTTTAAGTATCTTCTCTCCCGCATCTGTTGTTGCTCGTGCCTTCTAACTGATTACCACGCTTTGACTATTTAACCGGTCCACGTGTCATGACACGTCATCTTATATAAATTCAGTTTTTTCCCAATACAAATACAAATTTATTTAAGTATATTTTTGTTAATCTCCTAAACTAAAAATAGGACGACTCAGGGTAAATGAACAAGAGTTTTATATCTGAAAATTTTAGGCCTATACAGGGAATCATTTAGCTCTCTAACCACATTCTCAATTCTCAACTCAATGCGTCATCAGGTAAAGTTCAAAAATAACTTCTGAACTTATAATTGAAAAATAATCGCAAATCCAAAAGTCATTAAGAATAATCAATTTTTGGAATATATGACAGCGTTATGGATTTCAAACTTAAAAAGTTAAAACTCTATAACAGTATACTGAACGAAATCCAATACTATGTTATGTAATTTCACTCTTTGATTCATGACACTATATGAATTTCAAAAGTGATGACAATATAATGGATTTTTTTGTTTGTTTATGTTCGACATTGTATGCCGCTGCCATGGTGTTTCATACTAAAAGTGGTATTTTTCTACGAACGCTGAAAACACTAATTATGTTTCAAAATCTACCCGAAAAGTGACTAGCACGTACATTTTTTTAAGAAATTTTTACCTCCTATAACAAAGGTTGATGCCTTATTTATTTTAAATAAATAGTCTTTTAAAAAATTATATTCCATAGCTACCTTTTGATTTTTATAGCCAAATATCTATTTATGATCACCTCCTACCCTTAAGTCATAAAATACGCTTTGTATTATTTTTCTCTCTCATTCTTTCAGATTTTTCTCCACCCCCTCTCTCTCTCAACGCCAGTTCTCACACAGCAGAAGATTGAAACAGAATCCGCCATGGAAGAAATCGAAAAAGCACCAAAATGTTCACTGCTATTTCCCGTTTTCCCCCAATCTACACTAATTGGGATGATCAAAGTAGTAGAGCATTAATTTATGAGACCGAGTTCATTGCGCTGCAAACCAAGTCCAAGTTTAGGGCGGAGGATGTCATTCAACGATTTTGACAAGTTTTTTAAAGAGTTGCCTCCTGTGGACGACCTTCTTTGCCTTTATGCAGATGAATATCGTTCTAATTAGGAATTTTTACCTTGAACAAAGCGACGGAGTTTGGGGCTGAGCAATTTGAAGAGTCTGTTACCTTTTTTTTCGTTGTATTTCAATGTATCTCGCTGTATTCTATGTATTTCATTGTATTCATTGTCTTCTTTTTTCATTGTATTTCAATATATCTCGCTGTATTCCATGTATTTCATTGTATTCACTGTCTCGCTATATTCCATGAATGTATTCATATGTTTTTTTTAATTAATATAATTTATGTATTCAGATGTAGTATATAATTTCTCTGAAGATTGCTATGTTTTTGGGTATTTTTCGGTTGAGAATCTTTTTTATAAATGGAAATACAAAATTTGTGTGTTATAATTGAGTTTGTTGTGTTATATTAGGAGTCTATTATGTTAATTGATTCACTTTCCGTTTAAAAACAGTGTAATCCCTGTTTCACACCGTGAATACAGTCGAATATAATAATCTGTTCAACTATAATCCCATGTTTCACGCCATGAATACAGTCGAATAGACTCGAATACAAAAATCTGTCTAGCTGTAATCCCCTGTTTCACGCCTAGAAATGCTACTGTATTCATGAATACAGTAGCTTAAATACATCAAATACACTCTAAAAATTTAAAAACATAGCTATAGGAAGTAATATAATAAATGGTAGCTACAATTAACTAATAATCACTAAAACATAGCTGTTTCTGAGAGTTTCTCTTTCTTTTAACCGTATCCTGAGCATGTTTGAATCACTATCCAGCCCTACATTGAATTAGGATATTGACGATTTTATGAAGGCTATGCCATTTTATAGTTAAGCTGATTCTGGATTTCACTACTTGCTGTGATTATTTTTGGATAATATCTAATGTACCCTTTGGCGGTGTTAATTATCAATGAATTACATATTATCAAACAAAAAAGAAGAAGGAACAAAAATACAAAGTATGTGGGGAAGTGCACAAGCAATCATTCTTAGATATGCTATTTAGTAATTAGTCAATACTTATTTCATCCTAAAAATTTAAACTAAAAATTTTAATTTCAGAAAAAATCAGGACATTTCTGTCCTAAAAAATTGAATTAAAAAAATAAAATTCAGTACATATTGGCTAATTCCTAAATAGCAGACCTTTAAAGTGGCCACCCGATATCATTTCTACCAATGTTGTGAGACTGGAATATAGGTACTATTTCCAAAAGAAAAGGGTTGTGGAAATGACATCAGGTAGCCACTTTTAAGCATGTTGATTAAAATATATCCACAGTTTATAATGTATTTAAAGATTAGCCAATTTTGCTCAAACTTCAGGACACGACGTCCTAGAGTTTAAACTTCAAAGTTCAAATTTTAGGACATTGTGTCCTAGCGTTCAAAAATTGTATCCAGAAGTTCGAATCTTATGTCTTAAATTTTAAATTAGTAGTTCACAAATTCAGGACACTTAGTCCTGAATTTCAAATTAGTAGTTCCAAAATTCAGGATACTTAGTACTGAAGTTTTGGTGAATTGACTAATATTTAAATAAATTATAAATTTTGAATATATTTTAAATAGCAGGCTTAAAAGTTGCTATTGCTGTACTTCGCTCAAAAGAGTTGATAAGTGAGGATCCACTTTCTCATCAAAAGTTCGAGGATGCACTTCACACATTTTGAAACATTAGGGACCAAATCAAACTTTAGGGAACAATTTGAGAGGCGGTATTTTCACGTCATTTTCGTTCGCACTTTCTATTAAAACCCGATAAACCCTCCCAAACTCATCAGTCCTTCCTCCTCTTCACAGAGCTAGGGTTTAGTATCAAAAAAATGGCGACTCGCTATCTGACTCGTTCTCTACTCACTGCCTTCACTCGCTCATACACCTCTATTGCACCGCCGAGCTCGTTATCTTCTTTCTCTCTCCTCCGTCTGCGACCCCTTATCGCCGTCGCCGCCAATCTAAAAAACGCCTCTCCGCCGCCGACGCCTTTTGCTGTTCGAGGGTTTGCCACTCGGCAGACCTCATCGTCGCTCAATGACCCGAACCCTAACTGGTCGAATCGACCCCCAAAGGAGACGATTTTGCTTGACGGTTGTGATTTTGAACACTGGCTTGTTGTGATGGAGAAGCCTGAAGGTGACCCCACTAGGGATGAGATTATTGATAGTTACATCAAAACTCTTGCGACTATTGTTGGAAGGTTTGACTTAGTCTGCTTTAGTTTCTTTTCCCTTTTTTATAAACCAACAATTTATTGTGAGTGAAGAGTTACACTTTGCAGCAAATATGGTTTAAAAGAACTTTTCCTGATTATAATTGTTGGGAGTATTATTTTAGCTTCTGTCAGTTTCTTACTTGTTATATTATGTGCTGTTAGGCTTACTTGTTAGTGTAGTTGCTAAACCAGCCCAATTTCGTTATGTGGTACCTTTAGTTCAATGATAACATGGGTCAGATTCTATAGAATCAAACATATGGGCTTAAGGAATAATATAATAAAGAGAGGAGAATAGTCTTGTTAAATTTAATATGAAGTAGAAGAACCAGATATCATTAATATATAAAATGAATGCGTGATGCCCAAGCAGACATGCCCTCATCCTAATAATTCTTTCTGAAATAATGCATTTTCTACCGGAACAAGGAAATTAACTTACAGAATATGTCTTCAGAAGTGTCACAAATTCTACTCCATGTCATTTGCTTAGCGGATAATGCTTTCTAAAAATATGACTTTTCCTACAAACGGAGGGAATAACTTCTGTGATAGTCATTTTCCTTTTAGGATATCCCAAATTCTACGCAATATCTCTTTGTTTCAATCAACACTTGGACATCATTGTTAACTTTTAGTACTCGAAAGTGAACACCACAACTTTATCCTTATACTATACATTACTCCTTCGGGGACTATCCATGTTACCTTATCTTATATCCAACAAGGTTATTCCATGTGAATATTTCCTCCATACCTAATACACCAAAACAACCTAGTTTAGTTGAACTCAATTGTGATAAATAGCTTGATGAGAAATAGAATAGGAGGAGGAAAAGGGATCTTCCTTGCGGTTATATTTCTATTTGGAAATGTGTGCCTTGTGTGTGAACCGGTTGTTGTCTTTCTCTAATAGTAATAGAGAAGTGTTTGGCATGTTAAGTAGCTGGAAAGAATGATTAGTTTATTTCTATGGATGGTTTTGTATTAATTGCAGCGAGGAAGAAGCAAGGATGAAGATATATTCTGTCTCAACCAGGCATTACTATGCTTTTGGTGCCCTTGTATCGGAAGAACTTTCCTACAAACTAAAAGGTAATGCAGTTATTGATGTGCTCCCTCTCTCTCTCTCTCTCACACACACACACACGCACACCTTTTTTGGTATTTTGTGATGGTGTATGAAAGGTAAAGATGTGGAAGTTCTAATCACTTACTCCTTCCATTCATGTGCAGAGCTGCCCAGGGTTCGTTGGGTGCTTCCTGATTCCTATCTGGATGTTAGAAACAAAGATTATGGAGGTAGGCAGTTCCATGTTTTTCAATGCTATCATCTTTCTGTGTCATCGCTAGTTTAGCATTTTCAGTCTACATGAATGTTATCTTTGATTGTCACACTTGGTATGATATTAGGATAGGTTTTCAATTTTTCACTTGTAGTATCTGTTACGTGGATGAACAGTAATATGCTGTTGCTTCTACGCTTTAGAGAGCTTCCTTTTTCATTTCATTCTTCTGCCAATTAGCTTCATTTACAAAAGAGATAAAAACATCATGTATTTAAAAAGTTAGGAATGGATGTTTGATTCAACTCACTAATTTCATTTGTGATGTGATTGACACATGGGTGTATAACATTCAGGCCATTAAACTTGGAGAAGTTTTGCAGTATTTGTTTCAAAATGAAAAGCAAAACAAAACCTAGGTTATGTTTCTTGGTATATGTTTTCTCACATCTTACAGAAAAGCTGGAGAAAAGTTGGAGATCCTCAGCTATTAATTTAATGAATTGCCCCCCTTTTTCTCCAGCGACAGGCATTACTATTGCATGTGGCTGCAGATGTTTGTTGTTTTACATGTCTATCTTGTTGCTTGCGAACTAGGTCATGTGTACCAGCTATTCTACTTCAGTGCTTTTTGCTAATATTAGACCACTGTAATGTGTTGCAGGGGAACCTTTTATCAATGGGCAGGCTGTACCTTATGACCCTAAGTACCATGAGGAGTGGGTGAGAAACAATGCTCGTGCTAATGAGAGAAACAGGCGAAATGACCGACCTCGTAATTTTGATAGATCCAGAAACTTTGAGAGAAGAAGAGACATGCAGACTAACCAAAACAGTCAGAACCCTGGATCCAACATGCCACCGGGGGGCCCTCCCAACATGAGGAATCCACCGCCTCCCAACATGGGCGGGATGCAGCAACCTAACATGGGCGGGATGCACCAGCCGGGCATGGGAGGTCCACCCAACATGGGCGGGATGCAACAGCAGGGCATGGGAGGTCCACCCAACATGGGCGGGATGCATCAGCAGGGCATGGGAGGTCCTCCCAACCCGGGCGGGATGCACCAGCAGGGCATGGGAGGTCCTCCCAACCCGGGCGGAATGCACCAGCAGGGCATGGGAGGGCCACCCAACCCAGGCGGGATGCACCAGCCGGGCATGGGAAGGCCACCCAATGTGGGTGGGATGCAGCAGCCAAACATGCCACCACCAAACATGGGTGGAGGGCCTACCCATAACTATGGAGGAGTGCCAAACAGTGCACCCAATTTCCAATACAACAGCGGATCAAACAGTGGAGGCACACCTTACCCAACAGGTCCAGGGCCAAACCAGAGCTACTCTCCTAATCCATCTGATGGAAACCCTTATCAGAATCAAAACATGCCTGGAAGAGATATGCCCCCTCCTAATTACCGATAAGCAGATGTAGATAATAAGTATGAAGTTCTTAATGCTAGGTTTTTTTTATTTTGCGAAGTAATGTACCATCTTATGTTCGGTTGCACGATTTCATCAAATGATTACATATCTGAGTGCTGTACCAAAAATAATTCATATTTTATTTAAGTGCCATCACCTTATTAGAATTGCTCTATTTGCTTTACTGTGGATTGCCTTTTCAGCCTGCCAGGGCCTCCATGCTATACAATCCTTTTATTTCTCAAGGCTTATTTGCAAATAGAATGTGCTCTGTCAATGTAAAGTTTCTAATAACAATGTTACAATGACTCATCTAGGTATAGGCGATTTCTGCTCAATAGAAGTGTACTATTCAAGATTAAGAATAGTGGTTAACACTATAGTCTATAGGCAACAATAGTTGCTCGTTCAAGAAGCTAGTATTTGTTAATAGAGCATAAGATTAGGTTCCGATTTCCTTTTAAAGCTCCAAATATAGATTCACAGCCGTGGAAATATGAGGTTTTCAACAGTCACAATAAACAATGGTCCTTTGCAAAATATTCTCTATTTAGGAAGTGATACTAACATAGCCAGGCAAACAATTTCTCGAAGATCACTATCATTTCTTACTTGAACTTTGAGCAGGCACGACAGAAGACTACTGAAAATGTAACACTAGGGGATAAACTAATTTCAACTCAAACAAATCCATCAGGAGATGTATAGCTGAGTTTCAATCCAATTTTACGGAACTTGAAGGTCACAGAGATGGACAACTCTATGCCTTCACATTTTTCTCTTTTCCCTTTTTTCGACCTGAAACCGCAGATTCTGACGTGAGCGTTCTCTCCAAGCGATGTGGGATAGTCGCTATAAGGTCGTATATTGATTATTGAAACAGTAATGTAAAACCAAGGGATGTAAAGATAGGATGAGAAAAAGAAAATTAAGTATAACTAATCTTTCCAAACATAGACAAAGGGTCACAAATCTCGGAACAAATCCGTTGTAGCTGAAAGCATCAACGGATGAGGCATATCTGCAACATAAGTGAAAAGCAATGATTACCTTCTTTCCTATTCAGTTGTTCATATTACAATCAGTAGTCACTCCTGAGTTTTATGTTTACAGAAAAGGAGGTCCACAAGCTACAAAATATTTAGTTTTCCTGAAAAAATGTAGTAAAACACTACATTTGTGAATGAATTGAGAAACTAGATTTTTTGGTTCATTCTGAATCCGCTGGTAAACTGCAGAATTAGGCCTCTGCTGATATTTCAACGGATCCAGAGGATGTAATACTAAAGGCTTTTCCATTCACAACCTCTGTTCTCTTTTTGGCAACACGAATCTGATCTGCAAGTGAAACTGTATTTTGTACGTGTGCTCTCTTTAAGAACCGTACATCAAGTCTTTCCCAAGCTCGTCGATGTTCTCTGCAAACCTGACTGGGTGTGGACTTCTTCTTCTGAATCTGCGAACATATAGGAAATGGTCAGTTAAACACAAATAACGCACCAACGTGCCAACTTTTTAGCTGCAGAAGAAGCTATGAACATACAGGATATGACATCAGTTATGAAGCACAAATAATGCACCAAAATGGCAACTTTTTAGACGCACTCACAGTGGAATGGAATTCGTTTCAGATTATATACTATTTCAGTGCTAACTTGTGGAGCAATTGTGTTTCCTTTCCCAGAAGGGAATAGTGCATGATAAAAAGTTCAGCAAAAAGTTCAAACTTTGATGTTTGAGAGAATATAATCTGTGACTTTATTTTAGCAGACATGGTAATTTCTTGGAATAGGCAAAGCAATAGCAATTAATTTGGAGTGGCCAGCAAACAAAATAGAAGGTTTTTTCAAAATTTTCCTTATACATAGGATATGAAATATTAATTTGTCAAAAGTTTGGGAGAAGCCATGGCACTCCTAGACCACTCGGGTCCACCCGTAGTTATCTCCATGATTAGGCCCAGTTAAATGATCTGTATAATGAAAGTTGGCAAAAATTGATTTACGTGAGTAAACCATATTCAAGCATATTTTAATATCAATGTTCAAGCAAGGTTTTGTTGAGTTTTGACCTTCACTAATTTAGCCTTGAGTTTCAATTCTTCAGCAACAGCTAGCTCTTCTTTCTCTTGCTTTGACAGTCTCCTCGGTCTCTTTATTTTTCCTTCAACTTTTTGTTTTTCTTCTCGTTCTTTTCTCCTTTGAGCTAGTCTCTGCATCTTTTCTGCCTTTCTCTGTGCTGCTCTCTCAGCTCGTATGCGTGCCATTTCTTTTGCCTTAGCCTTTTCTGCAGCTGACTGAAGCTGTTCGAGAGCTATCTCTCTTTTAATCGTGTCATAGCTGTCCCATTCTAGTTCTTCTTGGTCACTCCCACCTGCCTTAGCAGCATTTGCAATGCTTTGAGCCCATGACTGAAAGAATTTCTCCCTTGACCTTTTCCATTTTAAGCGTTCCCCCCACAGTTTTCTCAGAGATGTGCGTATTCTTATCTTGGTCTGATTGCTGCAAAAGAGAGTTATTATTGACTTCCAGATTTAAGGTAAAAAAGTTTAATTTGCAAGTTATCCTTTGTGGTGAAATATTATTCATGCTGCAGTTATAGTGATGTCAAACAATTCCTATCATTCAATATTAGAGTAAAGAGAATGATTTCTGGCAATACTAGTAACTTTCACAAAGAAGACCATGACACTGCACGCTAGTATGGCTCAGGAAGAGACCCTCTACTGAGAACTTCTAAAATTTCAAACCAGGGAGTCAAAAGTGCCTAAAATACTTTTTTTATTGGTAAAAGCGCCTAAAAGAAATTTAAAAATGGAGCAGACGTGGGAGTATGACGTGGGAGTAGCTAAGCGTACTGATCGTACTTTTTGTGGTTATAACACAGACTATATATCACCTTTTCTTCGTTTGCCCCTGCTGCAATGACGAATTGCAGCAGATGCTGCAGCTGTGTGATGCGTAGAGAGCCTCTGAAAAACTACCGCAGAGTCTATTTATCAGGAAAAAGGGGAAAACCTATGATGCAGTCTGTGTCTATCATATCTGGTCAGAAATGACACAAGAGGAGGTTACAAAGCTCTGGTAAGCCAGCTGAAATTGTTTGAATAGATGTATCATTAGCAATGAAAATAACTGTGGCTGGTCGGAAGCACATGCAGAAGCAAGAAGAACAAGGAGTGATCGGTTGGAACTTTAAGCAAAATATATTTGCTCAATATAGTGCTCTCAATGTTATCTTTCTTTGCCAAGGGTATGCAGTAGTATCTTCAGCTTGAACTTATAAAGAGAGAGAGAGAGAGAGAGAGAGAGAGAGAGAGAGAGAGAGAGACCTCTCCTTCTTCTCCGTTCACCCACCTCCATTCCTTTCCTTAATTTTTTTTTCCTTTTCTTCAGTGTTTTTTCTCTCTCTTATTTCTAAATCAAATTTCGTTCATCTGCCAAGGATATAAGTAATTTCTTTTTCCTTCTCATATAATGCAATTAAGGCATATCTAACTGAGTTCATTTCATTTCCCAAATCCTCCAATTGTATCTGTTGAAGAAGAGAAGTGTTTGGTTTTCTCAAATCTACACACTATCTCTAGCTTGTCTCTGTGATGTTGCACAAAGGAGGTTATTTCAGGGATTCGGAATGCTAGAAAGTTAAGAGTCAATGGAGGAGAAAGTTTTCAATTTGTCCATCTACATCAACTTGAATCGTTGAGTCTTGAACTTAATTTTCAAGGGGTCTTAGCTGAGATTTCACCAGCGACCATTCCAATTTGTACACAATGCATAGATTACCTATCAGAATTTAGATTTGTGGACACCGTTGAAACTTTATACGCAAATGGTGAAATCAAATAATTTAATTTTATCCCCAACACTTTTGATGGGCATCTGGTAGGAAATTCCACCCAAGACAAAAGGAGGAAG